CTTTCTACTTGAGCCCTTGGTATCAGCTCCTCATTTCCCCCCCTCCCTCATGAACCCTTCATAATTTATAAATTATTATTATTTTGTCATGTCGCGCTTTACCCACAATAAAATTCTTTTAATAAAAAAAAGAAGATATTGAGTGGAGTGCTCTTGAGGTGGGAGAGAGACAAGTGGTTTCAGTTTTTAAAGTAGAGATTAAGAGGAACATCAGCCTTTTTGCTCCCTGGCTCACAAGGAGTGGCGGCGGTGCACTAGTTAAGCTCTGAGCTGTGAATCTAAGCTGGATGGTTCAAACCCCGCTCCCCCTCCCCCCCCAGCAGCTCTTTGGGAGAAAGACGTGACAATCTCTTGTAAAAATCCCCCCAAACCAAACCCATTGATATCACATGGATTCTGATTCATAGTGACCCTACATAGGGTTTCTGAAGCTGCACAGCTTTACGGGAGTGGATAGCCTCATTTTCCATCCTCAGAGAAGCTAATGGTTTCGAATTCCTCACGTTGCACTCGGCAGTGCACCGCTTACCCCACAGCGCTGGCAGGGTACCTTTCGTAGGCCTTCTTTAAGGTGCCCTTGGCTTTGTAAATTTGTACAGGAGCCCTTGTCTTTCTCCCTTGGTGGCTTTGAACCACCATTGTGGCTAGCAGTCCAGACCTGGTGGTATTGTGGCTAGGAGTTGGGCTGCCATCTATAAGGTAAACAGTTCAAAACCACCAGCTGTACCAAGAGAGAAAGAAGGGGCTTTCTACTCTCTTAACAAGTCACAGTTTTGGAAACTCACAGGGCAGTTCCAACCTGTTCTAGAGGGTCACTGTGAGTCGTCATCGACTCGATGGCAGTGTTTGTGCTTTGCCCCTCTTTGGCCACCAAGACAGCCTTGGGGTCGTACTGGGCAGTGCTACTCTAATATGGTTGCTTGAGTTGGAATCAACTCAATGGCCATGGGCTTTTGGGTAGTTTTACTCTGGGAGTCATGTTGATTCTTCTTCACGTGATCCCGTGATGAGAAGTGTTCAAATAAGAAATGAATGTAACACAATCTGAACTCACCAATGTACCAGCCACTCCCGGGGAACCCGCAGGGCCTCGATCTCCCTATTAGGATGAAAAGAAAATGTTATCACAACATGTCTAGATATAAAGTCTTCACCTGTAAAATCCATGCTCAGAGCTCTCTGGTCTGATACACTGTGTCAGTATTAGCTGGTCTGAAGCTAGAGGGTGGCTGGGAAAATAACACAATAAATTGTCAATTAAACCTGTTAACATTTTCTTTCATAAAACCAAAGTGAATAACACTATTAATGAAATTAATCATTCATGTTACTGTGAGCTATCTAATCGAATAGAAATGTCTATTAGTAGTCCAAAATTAAGACAAAAAGTTGTCAATATTTTTTATTCCATAGTTGAAAAGTTATTTCTGTTAATTAAAAGAGTAAGACTGTGGAGTAACTTCTAAAAAGCCTTTCCTGCATTTGTCTCATTGGAGAATCCAAACCTCGGGGCTAGAATAAAGGGACCTGGGGGTAAGGATTTTGCAGGTGTTATCATTGGGCCCATAAAAGGTCCTTTAAGTGCTCTCTGCACAGTGAAGCAACTTTTTTTTTTCAAGAGGCAATCTGGCATTTTAGATAAAGCTGACAATGCTAAAAACCCTAATGATTATATATGAGATAATAAAATGGCAATTTTTGTTGAGCAGAACTTACAGTAAAGCAACTTCATAATTTCATGGAAGGACATAACAGATGACTTGATTAAATGGAGAGATGCGCTTTGTTCTTGGAGGGCAAGACGATGTTGTAAAGGTGTCATTGCTTACCCAAGTTAATTTACAAATTTAATGTAATTCTTACAAAATTCCAACTTGATCAAATGATATTAAAGTTCACTCAGGATAGCAAATAAACTAGAGGTTAAAGGAAATAAAAAAATGATAAGAGGGAGGTACAAGCAATACCAAATACTTAAAAATACAATAAAATCATAATAATTAAAAAATGGAATATTGGCATGACATTAAGCAGTACCTCAATATAACAGAAGTCTTAGAAAACAGGCCAACTTTTAAGATATGACAAAATAATAATTTATAAATTATCAAGGGCTCATGAGGGAGGGGGGAGCGGGGAGGGAGGGGAGAAATGAGGACTTAATGCTGGGGGCTTAAGTGGAGAGGAAATGTTTTGAGAATGATGAGGGCAATGAGTGTACAAATGTGCTTTACACAATTGATGTATGTATGGATTGTGATAAGAGTTGTATAGGCCCTCAATAAAATGATTTAAAAAAAAAGAGGAGTAAAAGTGAAATAAAAATGAAACAAAAACAGGCCAACTTTTAAAAGAATGTATTGTGTATTAAGTAGGACTAGTAAATGGGCGATTTTTGCTTGAAAAAATGTCTGATTTCTCTATTCACTACACGTCACAAAAATTCAGACAAATTAATGTAAAAAGAAGTAAAATCATATAATTTTGAGAGAAAATATGAATGACTGATTATCTCATCTTGGTTGAGAATAAGAATAAAAGTTATTTCATGTACAGCATCCAGAGTTTAAAGGCTTGTCTTAAAACAAGCAGCCATCTAAATGGTGTCCGTTAAGCCACACAGAAGAAGCACACCAGTGTGTGTCATGTAAGGGCTATACACAATAAAATCCAAGATCTGATGAGGGCATTAACGCTTAAATTATGAGCACCCCGTTTGTCGAAGGCTATGGGTGACAGTGAAAGCCCCAAATCCAGGAGCAGTTAGAAACCACCAGCTGCTCTGCTGGAGAAAGACAGGGCTTTCTCAGCCCTTAACAAGGTGTAGTCTCAGAAACTGACAGGGCAGTTTACCGCGTCCTACAGGGTCGGTGTGAATTAGCATCAACTCTGGCAGTGGGTTGGGTTTGGCCATGCAGATTAAGCCTCCAGTGAATCCCCTCTGACCACTGACCAGTGGTATGGAGAGGCTTGCTGTTGGACAGAGTGCACTGGACAGTGGATTCATGCACATGTCGTTAGGCTAAAGTTTAACCCCTTATCACTTGTCCTTCCTTTTGCCTCATTTTACATTTGTTCCAGTATTTATTATTTTCTGCTTTCTTTTCAACTGAGGCTTTCCTCGGCTTTGTCGTTGCTGGGGTTTTGCCGTTGTTGCTTATGCATGTTGTTCTGTATATGAAATTCAGGCTTGGTACATGTATAGAGACAGTAACTGGGTGAATTGTTTCCCAGGGTTATGGCAAGGAAAGTTTGGGGGAAATGGGGAACTAATAAGAAGAAGAACAAGAAATAATAAAATGTTCTAAAATTCTTTTTGGTGATGATTGTACAACCCCTTTTAATATGTTAAAACCATTGAATTGTATAACAGGTGAACTATATGTAAATAAAATTTTTAAAAAATTTGAAGAAAAAAAAGTTATTTCATGGATAATGGCAAAACAAAAAATTATAAAGGAAAACTTTAAACTTTAACTACATAAATGATAACCTTTACATAGAATATATTAAATGCAAGAATGAAACTCCAACATAGAAGAAGTATATAAAACAATCACAGTCAAAAAGAAGAAAAGAACTAATTTAACAATGAGCAAAGGATATAAACAGGGAATTCTCATGTGTGGTACTTTGTTCCTATTATATGATGGGATTTCCCCTGGAAATGAAGATATTGTTCATTCTATGGGAACATTAGCACAATTGATACAAATTGACATTTAGAGGCTCTTTGACAGGATGGTAATTCCAATATTTGTGTCTCTCAGTTGTTTGAACCACTATCTTGTCATGAAGTTCCCATTTACTACAATAGTTATATCCAATACCTTGCCAATAAAACCCCCATAATCTCAATTTTATGGATCCCAGTCTTGGACCACTATCTCCCATTGTTCTAGCTCATATAGTCAGTATTTTTAACCCCCCAAGTTTTTGATGCCCCAAGACCTTTCATCAATTGGTATGTTCATTATCCTTCCCTCCCTCGATGCCCTCTCTACCTCCTATGACGATAAATTCGATGCTCAATTGTTAAAATCCTTTCCTTTTGCATACTGCTAGATCCCTTGCCCAGTTTTGGTTCTTGCATTTGTTAGCAGTAGACTCTGGTTTAAGAACAACTCCCCTCCTACTCTCTGCCTTTATTTGAGTGCCTGCACATGGCTAGAGAAGCGCACATACCCCCCTCCTAAACCAAATTTTTTTTTCAAAGGTATGTATTTAAATTTTTTTACAAAACAATTTTATCACCTTCAAAGTATTCTCCATTACACTTAATACATTTGTCAAAACTGTGATTCCATTCTGGAAATATTTTTTAAATTTATCTGTATGGCTGACAGCACCTCCCTCATTTTTTTCTTCACTTATTCTATGTCATCAAATCACTGTCCTTTCATGTCCCTCTGGATTCGTGGAAATGAAAAGAAGTGGCATGGAGTGGCATGGAGTAAGGTGCATGGGGCAAGAGAGGCATGCTGGTTTTTGTCAAAAACTGGTGCACTGAGATGGCTGCACGAGCAGGTTTGTCGTCGTGGTGGCAAAACCAGTCTCCTGTCTGCCACAAACCAGACACTTTTGGTCGCACAGTGATGTAATCTTTTCAGAAACTCTAAATAGAAAGTTTGATTAACACTCTGACCTTGTGGAATGAACTCCAAATGCACTATCTCCTTCCAACAAATGCACATAAAAAAACCAAAATGAGCATCATCTTGATCTTTGATTTCACTTGACAAGTGTTTTCTGGATGAAGTGACAATACCATCTTCCACCTGTTTGATTGATGTTTGCTTTCAGGGTCATAAGAATTGTCTCATTACCTTGGAAAAAAATCTGGGTCGCTTCAGAGCTGTTCTTTCAAAGCATGGCGTGTTTCCACTCGATGCTCTTTGTCCTGCTCTGTCAGAACCCGAGGCACACATTTTGCAGTGACCCTTCCTATTCCCAAACCTTCCATTAAAATTTGCTGAACTGAGCTCCAAGCCAGTCCAGATAACTTCCCCATTTCTTCAGTGGTCCGCTGTAGGTTTTTGGGCACAAGTGCACGAATTTCTAAAAAATCATTTTATTGGGGCTTGTACAACTTTTATCACCATCCATCCATCCATCCATCCATCCATCCATCCATCCATCCATCCATCCATCCATCCATCTATCCATCCATTGTGTTAAACACATTTATACATATGTTGCCATCATCATTTTCAAAGCATTTTCTTTCTACTTGAGCCCTTGGTATCAGCTTCTCATTTTTTTCCCTTCCCTCCCTCATGAATCCTTGATAATGTATAAATTATTATTATTTTTCATGTCTTGCACTGTCCAAAGCCTCCCTTTACCCCTTTTGTCTGTTGTCCATCCTCCTGGGAGGGGGTTATAGATAGGTCATTGTGATTGGTTCCCCATTCTCCCCCCCCCACCTTCCCCTTCCACTCCTGGTATGGCTACTCTCA